TTGAACTAAACAACTAGACAATAAAAGGACAAGCTCAGTCTTTGGATTGAGAGACTCAATACGACAACACATACCTAGACAATGAAAGGACAAGCTAGGTAGGTAGTTAGGATATGAATATTATATGTTATTAAGTATTGGTACTCACCTCAGTCTTCAGATTGAGAGACTGAGGAGAGTCCATCCTGGAACATGAGAATAAAAGAAAGTCATTGGAACGGAGAATGAAAAGGACATGCATAGAACACGTGTAGCAAGAGAGTAATTGTGTATGTAAAGAAAGGTGTGTATGAATCATTTATTCTGATATGACACAATGTCATGTCACATGATAGCATAGGCTGGCAGGCACTGGCTGTTCAAGTACCCAGCCCATGAAAGGCACTCCAAAAGTGCCAAATCAAATAAACTTGATGCTGGATGAATACATGTGCCCAGACTGACTGCTATGAACTTGACTCCCGCCATGTTGTTGTTTTTCCTACCCTGAGGTAATGTAATCAGTGCATGCCTTCTGGTCTAAAATAATGTCCAGCTACTGAGGCACTGCAAGTGACTCATGATAAGTAGCTGTCTCTATACTTACCAGCACAACACAATTGAGATGGTCAGGATGACATCCCAATTGACCTAGCCCATTATTGCAATTCAGGTAAATGGCATGACCAAGCTGCAAGGAAAGCCTTAGAACCAGGTAAGACAGTAAACTTCTGCATAAAAAGCCATTGTAGGAATACAACACAGAGTGGGGCTATACAAAGATGGCTCCAAACTGATATCTTTATGTTGTGGTCTTGCACTGCCTAGTCTGCTATACTTGGTGAAACAAGTGTATTCGACCCAGGGGTCTGCGGTGTAGGTTTACAACTTAGTGTGGTGCTATAAGCTCCAAACCGATATCTTTATGTTGTAGGTTGTCCAACACCTAGTCTGCTATACTTGCAGAACAAGTGTGTTCGACCCTAAAGGGGAAGCCAGTGCAGCAAAGGTCTATAAATGAGCACAGAAGGTGCCACTTAGCAGCTGATGTGAAGCGCAGGAAAGCAGTGAGTGCACGTGTAGGAACAAAGCAGTTGCCGATAACCAAAGGCATGGGAAAATGTGGCTGCAAAGCAGCTGCAGTGTGGGTGGTTCAGATGATAATAGAGATGATAGATAATGGAAATAGATGTAAAGCAGAACAGCAACGGACACAGTGTGGATGGTAAATGGATATGGATTGCCAATAGCTACAAACTGTAGGCTAATGGGAGTTGCTACTGGAATATCCAGAAAACAAGCTACTAAAAGATATGTACTACTGCCACTTAAGTATTGTGCTAAGTGCTGTCATGCGAAGCCAAGCCGACATACTGCCAAGCTGACACGCTGCCGAGCCGACATGCTACTAAGTAAGGTATGTAAAGCTATATGTAAAATAAAGATGGTGTGATGCGGAAATAGTCTGATATGTAAATATAATCATAGAATAATGTACCATTGGATTGGTTGGACATGGACAGATGGTGTAAAACATCAGCTGATGAAGCACAAGAAAGCATGGCTGTGTGTGCACGTGGGAATGCTGCAGCCGTCGCAGGAAAGTAGCGGCCAATGTGTATGGTGTCTTCTTAGATAGATGATCTATAGATAAACATCTATACAACCAAATATCTCCACAGTCAGCGATTCAGACAAATACCAATGACTGATAATGTGGTCATTCGTGGGTGACTTGTCTTTGCTCCTAAGGTACAGTCAGCAGTGTATAGCTCTGCACAAAAGTCAGCAGTCAACAATCAACAGTCAACAGGCAATCTAACAGTATGGATATGAAGCACAGTGATAACAGAAACAGAATCCGATCGGTCAGTGATTGATAATCAATAACAACAACAACACAATCAGCAAACTATCAAGAGACACAGTCACTCTAACAATATAGAGATGACACAAAAAAAAGATACTCCTTCTAACACTTCACACAGCAACAATGATTCATACACAAACTTAGTGCAGCAAGTTGTGTGGAGTTACAATAATAATCCCCCTCAATAACAAAACAGGTGAGACTACTGTCAGACCTAGTCAGAGCTACCGTAGCACTCTTAGCCTAATACTGAACCTGCTGCCAAGGAACTCACAATGAGTATTCAAACAGACTCAGGAATGGGCGGCCTTGGACCTCAATACCAAGTCCCCTTTTCAATAGCTAAAGCCTAACTCGCAAATGACCACTTTGGCCCAGTATAACATGCAGATGTCTGAGGTCAGTGATTCACTGTTAACACCTAAAGTCTCCCCACAAGACTATCCTAAGTCTTCAGTGGACAAAAGAGACAACACCAAACTTCTGGGTAAGAATGAGACTGAAACTTTGATACTTGAGAGAAAGTTGATAGTAAGAAACAATAACACAATTGGACCACTACAACAGAAACACCAACACAGTCATGTTCACAGAGGCTGTTAGCAACGACGATCACGACACACAGAGACAGTGATCAAAAGAGATGGTCAGCACACACAGTCACCAACACACCACACTCAAACTTGAGAGACAGAGAGAGTAAAACAGAGAAACAGATATGTTAGTTTCACAGTCACAAATCTCAGACACGTTTCCAGAGAGACAGAGAGAGAAAAACAATCTCAGAGACAATCTCAGAGAGAGACACAGACACAGACACAGAGAGATAAAATGAAACAGAGAATAAGAGAGAAACAGTCAGAAGAAACAGAAAAATAAAAGAAAACTAGTCTTGCTAGTTGTCAGACACAGTGAGCTCAAGGTATGTGCTAGATGTTCAACACAGTGGGCTCAGATATGTTGTGCTGGTTGTTGAGCACAGTGAGCTCCAACGTTGATCTGCACTTGCTAAATGTCGATTCACACTTTACTCACAATCTTATTCTGAGAGGGTAAAAGTGGCACTTGGGCATTTTTTTATTGGGCAAGAAACAGCTCCTTATATAGACAAATTGGTGGCTATACTACTAGTTTCTTGTACTTAAAGTTGTAACTTTACTGTGATAGTACCAAGTCACATGATATCTTTGAGTCAAAAAGTAAATATTCATAACTCTCGTTGGTATAATGATGAGTCAGCAAGAGCTGTGTGTAGCCCATGGGTCAGGTGACCCTTGATGACTCAGCTAGACAAAGAGTGAGAAAGTGATTACATATTGTGTACATATGTTTGTGCAATTTGTGGCTGATGAATTGATTGGTAGCATAATGACATAAGATGCGTATTTAAGGATTTGTAAGCTTTCCCACAGGGTAACCTTATGCAAACATATTTTTCATAGTCACCTAATATGTGTGATAATCTTTCTGAGTCATCCTCATGGCTAACTAAGCAAAACTCATCGCAGAATTAAATGTTCAAAAATATTCAGTCCACTCACATACAAACTTGAAAAATAAAGAAAAAGATGAAAAATATTCCCTAGCCTCAGTATGACTTCAGTTTAAAGGGAAAAATGGTTTCATAGTAAATTCTGGGGTATAGGACTCATAGAAGAGTATTAGTCATCCATGCACTGAACCAGTTTGGTGCAGGTCAGCGGGTCATGGGAAAGCTACACTTCACATAGTAAAGCAATAGGATGCTGAGGGATACTGCAAAAATAGCCTCTATGAGGCTACAAGGACTTCCAGTCCTACAGCAGTCTGGGAATAGTTTTGGAGGTCAGTGAGTGATGTGGGTCAATAGTCCAAGCATGGGAAACAATGGCCAAAGATATAATTACAAGTCTAATGCCAAAGCATCAGCCAATGTTTTCAGGTTTAGCGGGTTAGTGTTGGGCCAGGAAGGGAACATCGGGTATAGCAAGCAGTATGCAGATTATCAATAATGACGGGTATTTCAGATAGAAAGAGCAGTAATATTTTGCAATACCAAATAAGAACTACGAAATATTGGGTTTGACCACAAAGTGTTGGGAAACAGCTCCCTACTACTTGGATGATGATGATGCTATGGGGAGTCCAATATTTATGTAGATACATAGAAATCCAGAACCCTATAGGCGAAAGTAATAGCACAATATTTTGGATCCGATGTCCCATGTAATAAGACATGATGTACTGCGGACCATGAGAATACATGTAATAATGCGGTCTGAAATGTTAGGGATGTGAAAACAAGTAACTACACACCTAGTGGGGCTAGCAGAATGAGACTGGACATAGGTAGGACAAGTGCATGTGATATCCGATAGTCCAATGCAAAACCCAATGCAATGTCCAATAATGCAATGTCCGATGTCTGATGTTTTCGAGTTTGGTACATATTGAGTCAGATACAATAGGAATGATTTGGGTAATGATTAGCATGTCTACATGCATTGGAAAATAGACCTCTATGAGGCCACAGAGATATTAGTCTCTACACCATACAGAGAACAAAGAAGGCCATTATATCTACTAGTGCTTCATCATCAGATACTACCACCACACACAGAGAACCCAACAACATTACAGCAGTTTGCAAAAAGGTTGACAGTGTGTGCAATCTGAATGATTAAGGAAATTAAATTAAATAAAGTCCACTGCACCCGGCGGGCCATACTTCAACTGTACATAGTGATCAATTCATAGTATCTAATCATCATTCTTTACTCTACCCACTGTCCAGGATGCAAAGGCAACTTTCATCCATATTCAATGAGCTCTCTGAAGACACCACTGTAGAAGCAACACCCGACACAACTACACCATCCACAATTTGGAATGAGACAAGCCTTGGCCCAAATGACCAAGAATCAACACCATCGCTTGTAGCTGTTATGAAGAAATGAGGCCGTCCACCAAAGCAATCTGCAAAAAGTATTGGTGAGCATGAGGATATTTGATGTACTGCAAGGCATATATTCTTGTCAATAAAGCCACAGAAACAGCTGTTGAGACACACTCCGAACTGAAGAAATCACCTGGAATAACTTACTACCTCACAATGTTCTCTGATGCTCAGATGTGAAAGCCTCAAAAACAACGAAAATCAGTCAACACATTCATGGTCCAGTCCTCTGACATCGAGTATGATACCTTGAAAGTCCAGATCCTAGTGAAGATCTCCGAGAACTTGAAACCAAAAGTCATTGCCTTCGAAAATTACACCATTGCGTGGACTATACCCCAAACACAAGTGTCCTCAATTCCCCTCTCTTCCGCTGCTGATTACCAATTTCTTCTTGAGCTTGCTGTCAAAAAAAAGACTCCGTCAGTAAATCTCATCATTGAGACTCACTCGATGAAACATAAGGTATGTGGAATAGCATCGACTATATGCGCTGCAAAACATTGCTCTAGAAGGCTAGCAAGAAATCAAAGAAGGCAAACGAGGATACAGAGAATGACCACAAGGATGCAAGCCAGGATGGTGGTAGCGAAAACAGTGAAAGTGAGGATGATGACCAGCCAAAGAAGAAGGTGAAGTCAGGGGTAAGTTTTGTCCTTTGTTTACTAGTTCGTCGTAATGACACAAACCCATCTGCAGAAGAAGTCCAAGTCCATCATTGAGACCCCACTGAATCTGAAGATCAATGCAAAAATTTCGGCTCCTTCAGAACTGCTGGATGTGTTCAAAAGCTGGTTGTTCCTCCGAACATTGTTTTATTCACCCAGAGCACTCCAAACATTTTTCCCTTGGTCATGAACATTTCTCCGTCTGGGCTGCTGCTTGGATACCTCTTTCTCAGGTTTCATTTTCTCATTGAATTGCTCACATATTTCGTGCCTGCATTGATAAGATAAAGACAAGAAGCTTGCAGACTTAGAGACTCCCCCGAACCACCACAAATTCAACACAGCTCCAGGTCATAAAACTGCCGATATTTCACCTCTCCTACAGCATCGACTTGCTGACTGCAACCAACCAACCAACCAACAATGCTGGTCCTGTCATCAACTTCAACATACATACCTCCAGAACTATTTGCTGTTTTTCGCCCTGCTCCTGCCCAGCCTGTCATTGAACATGGAATACCACCTGCTGTACATGATCCGCAATCTCTTGTGCAATCTGGTTGGCAACATGGCCCCAACCTTACTCTCGATTCTTTCTGCATGCTGTATGGGCTTAGCGAGGAGATCAGGACGAAGCTGCATGAGAATGGTTATACTAGTGCTGACATGCTGACCTTCATCGTCGTACCAGAACTCAAGGAGATGGGCTTCAAATATGGTGAGATTGCAGTGCTGAAAGCAGCCATGAGATGGTGGTGCCAGTCACTGTTAAGACCATGCACAAAGGGTAGGACTGATTCTGAGGGGCTTGGCTTCAGCTCATGCGCTGCGCCCCTTACCTGAGTATGTGCCCTTAATTTCAGATTGGTGTCCAAAGAAAGTCTGAAGATGTCCAAAGGACGTCTGAAGGCGCAGGAAACTTCAGAAGGACTTTGCAAGTTACTTCCGGATGAGTGCGGGAAAGTTCCGGAGGAACTTCCAGAAATTACGATGAGGTTTCATCCTGATATGGATATGTATAATGGCTACTCAGGACAAGTCCTGAGTAGAAGTAAACAGAGGAAAGGCTGCAAGGACAAAGTCTGAAGCAGAATAGGTCCGGAGGACCGTGGGAAAGATCCGGATGAACTTCCGGAAACTACAGAGGATCGGATGAGTGGATGAGCAGAGTATCAGATGAGTAGAGCTCCGGCCTAGGGAGAAACTCCCTAGGCCTGAGATGGATAACAATTAAATTGGAAGACTAGAACTGATATGAGGACTTAGAGTGAAGACTAGTGTGAGGACTAATATGATATTCAGACTGAGGAACTACAGGACATATACAAGAGTTTATATACTAAGTGACTACCGGAAAGATCAGTAAGCAAAGGTCCGAGGCTATGTATGAAGCATAAGCAAAGTTTACAAACGCAAGTCAGAAATGAAGCATAGGTTAATGGATCAGTAAGTATACCGGTAGTAAGTATAACCGAGGTACCGGAAACAAGGAATACCGGATAGGCTGTGTTAACGTTATGTGCACAGGAAATGAATTAGGAAGCTTATCATATATCAGATAGGAAATGGATCTATATGTCGGATCAGATCAGATCGTATATGGTCCAGACGAGATGCATGGATATATGGGATGTGGCATTAGGGTGATGGGACAAGGATAAATGATGCAGGCTAGCTGCAGAGGTATGGAGGTCTGATGTACGGATGTGGATGTGCAGAGGTGCAGGGATCTGGATGGATAGAGGAACTGGAGACATGGATAGGACATCTGAAGGTCCGGATGAGGCATGGGAATATTATCGGATGTAGGTCTGGAATACGGGATATGACAGTCACCATGACAATTTTTCTTTTGACTCTTCGCACCATTGGAATTTTTTTCACACTGGACATTCCCTGCATGTTGCCATACTCATATTTGTACATTATGCTTGTATCATTCTCACTCATTTCATAATTTACAGTACCACTTCCAGATGTCTAAAAGTACCCAGCATGCATAATATAACCCTTCGCATCAGAAGGGGTGATCACATCCATGGCAACATACATATCAAAAATGAGTCCATCAACATCAGCAGAGAAACAGTCTTGGTGACGCCGGATGAAAGATTTGATCTTCGAAAAGGCTTCTTCAATGGGGTTATAATCGGGTGAGTAGGGAGGGAGGTACTTGAGACATACACCTACATAGCTACCATGTAAGCACAGACTCAGAAACATTGGTACAGTACAAAAATATGCATACCTGCTCCTTGAATCAGGTCTGCAATTCCTTCTCCGTGATGAATTGATGCATTATCCATAACAAGGACACTGAGCCTACCCGGATACAGGGTACACAATGGCAACTGTATAAGCAGAAATACATCAATAAAATTGTATAGATCAAGACATGACTTATGACCTCCTCTTCAAGAAAAGTTCTGTACTTCTGCATCGTAAACGAACCTTCAACAACTACTATAGCAATCATCCCATCAACTGTAAGAAGGCACAGCCCAGAGACACAATGACCACAAACAAACACCTTCTTCTTTGCAGCACATTGCCCTGTCTTTGACCTGCCATAGTGTCGAGTAGTTGTCCTTTCATCCTTCGAAGTTTCATCCATGAAGCCCAGCTCTTCAGGCTTATACTGAGCCATCCTCCTGATGAAATCAGCATGGCGGTCCTCGTTCCTTTCTCTAGCAATTTTCTTGAGCTTCTTCAAGGACATCCCAGCATGAGCAAGTTCTCGGTAGATGGTTGTATAGTGGACGGAGATAAACCTGTTATGGTTGAGTAAGTCCAGTAGTTCATTGAGGAACCAGTCAGGACAGTGGTTGATGAGCCGAATGAGGTAGTTTATGTTGTCAAAGTGAAGGGCTCATGGACGGCCAGCAGCTCCATAGTTGTGTTGGACAACATCTCCTATTTCTTGCCAAAGTTTGCGAACACACCAAAATGTACTTTCAGAGAAGCTGACACAATCAAGAATCTCTTCAAGAGACAGCATATTGTGCTCATAAAGGTTGATAGCAGCGAGTTTCACGTTATGACTGATTTTGCGGAATGGCATAGTAGCATGGCGCTGACAGGAAAATGCGTGTCTGGGACTTTTCTTTTTTTAATTTCATTATTCATTCAAATTATTGTACTGTCAACCTTTTTGCAAATAGCTGTAAATGAAAGATGAAACCAAAAACAATAGTCTGTGAGAGAAGTCTAACAATTCTTGACTACTCATGTGTGGAGAAAGTAGTCAAAACATTTCAAAGACAGTAGCGATGAGAACAGCTAGAAGAACCAAAGCCTCCAACTTAAAGATAGCTCCTGACACAACTGTAGGCCCTTTGGATGTTCCATCCCAGTATTTGGAGACACAGTCAGGACTGAACTGAGTACCCACTTTACAATTGAAGTCACATGTCATTTCTGACACATCCTGTACTGCATACCACTGTGCCCAGCAATGTGTAGAACAGAGCATATTTCACAGCTTTGTTCATAGAATATGCCATGGGAAACACTATGTGATAGGCTGCCAAAATTGGATAAAGCTCAGAATTCAGATCCAAGAGGGAAGAGGGCTGTATGTTCTCATGACATCTCAAAGTGCCTCCACCGGGTTCCAGTCTTTAATTCAAAAGGTTTTGGAGGGTATGTTTGAATAGTCATATCTTTGCCAAACCTTCAATGCAAATGATTCTTCAGTGAGAACACTCATCTTTGTCTGCTTGTTCTCATCCCACCACACATCCTGGCATCTGAACACAACTGTTCAAAAGGTTCAACCAGAAAGGTCTGACCACAGCAATTGCCAATTGTTTGACTGGAACACAATGTTGCACCAGATCCCACTGCACAGTTTTTACTGTCCGCCACTAGTAGCAAGAGGGCTTCTCACATCAGTAAATCACCATGTTCTGTGCAGAGCTGTACAGAGCTGTACAGTGTCACAGTGCCACAGCTTGATCCCTTCTGTACAGACAGGCCCATCTCTGTAAATCTCTGTACAGCTCTGTACAGAGCTCCACAGTAGTCCTCTAGTTACACAGAATACATTAGAAATCACTTTTTTTGCGACTCAAGACACATGTAAAAGTAAATGAAAACAAATGCATTGCAAAAAAACTACTATTCTAGACATCAAGTACAAACTACGGGACATCAATTGTGTCGTTGTTGTTGTGTTGTCGTCGTCATTGTGTCGTTGTCGTCATTGTGTCATTATCATTGTTGTTGTGTCATTGTTGTTGTGTCGTTGCATCGTGGTCATCGTTGTCGTCGTCGCATCGTCGTTGTCATCATTGTGTCGTCATTGTCGTCATTGTCACGTCATCATTGTCATTGTCGCATCGTTGTCGTTGTCGTTGTCATTGTTGTTGTTGTTGTTGTTGTTGTTGTTGTTGTGTTGTTGTTGTTGTTGTCATCATTGTGTCGCTGTCGTTGTCATTGTCATCGTGTTGTTGTCATCGTTGTTGTCGTGTTGTTGTCATCGGCATCGTGTTGTTGTTGCTGTTGTTGTTGCGTCGCCGTCATTGTCGTGTTGTCATCATCATCGTCATCGCATCATGAGCAAGCAAGAGTGAGAGCAAGTGAGGGCAATGAGCGAGGGAGAGCAGTGAGTGAGAGCAGCAGGTGAGAGAACGAATCTAAAGAACAAGATTAGAACAAAAAAAAAATCATTGCGCACCTCAATAAGCAAGCAAGAGATCATCCTAGAGTAGTTTGTTGAATATAAAGAACAAGATTAGAATAAAAAATCATGTGTGCCTGAAATTAAAACACGCTTCATGGAGGCGGAGAACATTGTCGACGAGTTGAACTTTCGTGCCGATGAGCGCACCGTCACCTGAATAAACATATACAAAGGTTGGACTTGGAATATTTCCAATGTTGTTGAAATGTTGATGCCTGGGAGAAGTTTGCTGGGAGTGCTGTGAGCGCTGTGGGTTACTGTGGGAACTGTCGAAAATGTTGATGTCTGTGACGAAATTTGTGGTTTACTGATGCAGTTACCAGCATATGGCTACCAAGATGGGCTGCCTTGTTCAATGTACTAGAACAAAGTGCCCAAGGAATGTGACAGCTGCACTACACACTGATAATTTGTCTTGTACTGTGCACAGCTTTGTGAAGAAATCATTAGTGATACTCAAAATAGGTTTTGAAAACTCGCTTAACACGCTTTGAAATCTTGGCTAAAAGCATTTCAGAGAGTTCGGCTGTTGAAGGTCAGCCTGGCATGGTAAGCAGAGCTTGAAATCTTCATGCCTCCTGCTTGTCATTCTGAATGACTCAGAGCGAACTTTCTCATTCATTCGCCCATAATGGATGACAACGACATAACATCTGATGGACCGCCTCACTCAAAAACACCTAGGGAATCAACTGGACCCTGGTTCACTGTTCTGTGGCACAATGATCATGGACTTACTGACATGCTAATTAATTATCTGAGTACTCACCCTGCCGATTGCAGGATTTTGTTTTATTCAGATGGAAAAAAATCCATGGCTGCTACTGGTGCTGATAGCCCCTTGGGCTCAGACAAGGGGTAAATTTACGGTGGTCTCACCAAGATCATCTTTACAGATCACCCCAAGTACAGTGCCGCATATTCATCTAATCCCAAAAAATTTCATGACACTGTTGGCAGTCACATCACCACGCAAGTCCTTTCATTTTTTTTGTTCTACTAATAAAAATACTAAATTTTATGCAGTCTCAGGAACAAATACAAGAAGTTCAAAGTGTCATTTGGCAGCACGGGCACTGGGGTGATGCCAACTGAAGGGAGTCAGGCAAAGAACCTGTTGGGTGAGTCCTCAGTCTTGATTACTTGGTTATCGGCTGATCGATTCTGTAGATGCAGCACTTTTGGAGCTGCCATGGTACAAGGATCTTGATACCATCTGGCACTCCAATCCTTCAATGGCTGCGACCACACACTTGTCAAAACTGGGTGTTGATCACACCAGCACCCTGTATTCCCTCGTTCAGTCGAACAGCGGGGCCGGTTCCTCTACATACTTTGGTGCCACTCAGCAGTCCTCCCATCCCTCCAATGTTCAGCCATCGTATCCCCCCAATGTTCAGCTATTGCATCCCCCCAATGTTCAGCCATTGCATCCCCCAAACTTATCATATCCTGCGCCCCTGCACTATGCCCCCCCTGTACCTCCTAATGTGAATATACTTGCTGGCGGCCAGTATCCACCAGCAGTGCTGCAACAACCCCCTCCTGCTCCATCCTATCCCCCTCCCGAAGTCCATCTTCCAAGCCTCTCATCAGATGACGATGACACCAAAAATAATTTTTCATTTGATAGGCACCTGGGGGATCCTGGTGAGGATGACAACATGATACTCAATAATGCTTCCCCAGTTGTGGGGAAGAAATGTCAGCTCCCCTCAATGCCATCTCCTCCTCCCAATGTTCCAGAACCATTTGAGGTACTAGCAAAAACTCCGGCATCGGCATACAACAGCCATTTGGCATTTAGGGCGCAGAAGCCCTCAAGCCATGGGAGCCGATGCAGACTGCCATTGGAGATGTCATGCAGCACGTCGACACCATCATCGACAATGCGCAACACTACCTCGTCATTGGACTTCCACATGTCCCCAACACCTACACCTGAGACCTCCCTTCCAAATAGCGCTGGCAGCTCAAAGAAAAAGAAGGCAAAGTCGGACATGTCACAGCAGGTGGCACAGGTGAGAGATGAGATTGAGAGCATGCACTCGGACACGATGTCGTGCCATGACAGCAAACACCTTCGCTTCCTCACAAAGTTCAAGGTTAAAAGCAAGCATAGTCACAACACTAAAAAGTATGAGTGGCTTCGTTCCAGCCGTAAGCACGAAGCCTCCCAAGTCACTGTCACCCATCAGTGCATGCAAGAGATGAAAGCCACTGAGATTTGCCTTTGTGAGACAGACATTCGCGTCCACCAAGCACATTCAGAAGTACTTGACAAGGAAGCAGAGACTCTGTGACTCAAGATTCAATTCCACCAAATGATGCAGGCCAGCAAGGCAGCATTAGATGGAGGAGTTGGGTGAGTTGTCTCATTGTCTCTACTTGTTGCTCATTGTCTCTGTTTGTTGTTGCTCGTTGTCTCTTACTTGTTGATGTTGCCACTATACTTACATTTGTGTTGTTATTACTATGCCCTTTGTTGTTACTGTCATTGTTATGTTTGTTTCTTTTGCTGTACAGGTGCATTGGTAGTAGTACATATCTAATCAAGCACTATTGTTGTCATCCTTCCCTATGGTGTGCATTTGAGTGAGGACTGTCAAAGAGTGCATCCATCAGCCTTGCTCTAGCAGCTTGTCCTGGAGTGCCCTCATAAGTCCTGTCCCCAACAACTTCTTCACCATCTGGATACTCAACCTCTTTGTCAATGCAATCTTCCCCCTCTTCACAAGCCCACTTTAGAGAGCTCTCATATGTCCCATCCCTCTTGCAATGCTCGATTTCAAAGTGAATGATCATGTTGTGTAGGATAATGCAGCACTTAATCCACTGCACAGTGAACTCAAGGTCTTTCTCAGCCTGAATTCTGAACCAGAGCTTTCGAAGGGACTGGAACCATCCCTTCAAAACAGCGAATGTGTGTTCAACACAAACATGGATCTAAAAAAATTCAATTTACTGAAATATAAAGCTCAAAAAAAAATACCTTAGAGAGGTGATAATTAAATGTCTTCTGGTCCTTAGTCAACCGCCCATTGCAAGGCTTCTTGAAAGGGGCAATGCACCATGGCTCCAATGGATATGCACTGTCAGCCCACACCCAATGACCATCAGGTAGAAGGTCAGCATGCTCTTCATAGAGACGGGTAGATCGAAAAGCAAATGCATCATGGACACTCCCAGGATGACCCAGAGAATAATCCACAATGAGAAGGTCATGGGGCAAAATGACTGCCTAGAATTAAATCAATTTTTGCACATGAAGATTTAAAAAAAAAAATACCTGACAGCCAAGGGAATATTTGGATTTCCTATCATAAGATGTCTCACCGAAGTAACCAGGTTTGGTGAAAAGATTCATAGTTGAGCCATCAATTGCTAGAAAGCCACCCTTCCACTCTGGGCAGGTACATGACTCAGCAAATTTGCGAGCCAGGTCAGCATCCTCGGAATTATCCACTGGGAAGCAGATAAACTGATCGTGAGCATCAAGCACCACAATCATCACACGATTAGTGCAATTAACCACATATCCAACACTCATGCCTGCCCATTGAGCAACATCTTCAAGAGTAATAGCATTTCCATAGTGGCCAGCTCGATTCAAAAAAATGGCAAGTTGAATGGAGACAGGGAGCTAAGGATTGTTGGACTGATTTTGGAAGATGGGATGATCAGAGATAAAATCGAGGATGTCATTGAAGATCTCAGGGAATGCGGAGTTTCTGCTGAGACAAGTGAGGGCAGTGTTCTTCGTGATGAACCAACATGTGAAGCTGAGGTGCTCATGGGGGAGGCTCATTGGGCTTATGGAGTACATGAGCCCTCTTAACCTCATCATGAAGAGCATTAATGGTGTCATGGAGGTGGTTGTAAGGCAAAGCGATGTCATCAGAAGAGATAGAACCATCACTGGAAGAATCTGAAGTCCCTGTCATAGGAGAGAGGGGGGAGGGGGGGAAGGTGAACTAAAAGATAGATTGATTGAATTATCATCCGAAGTAGTGGAAAGTGAGTCCTTGGAGTCAGAATCACTCTCAAAGTCAGACCAATCATCCAGGATATCCTGGTACTGTAGCTTGTCCAGGGAAAGTTCAGCCTGATCTACAATAGCCAGGAGTTCTTTACGGGTGGACAGTTGAGGCATGGTCACAATTGGGGAGTCAAGGGAATCAAAACTCCTATCCATTTGTGTATATGTGACGTAGTTTGTGGTGGAGTTTGAAATTTTGGAAAGTTCCAAAGTTTCGTCTCACAGTGAGCACACTGATGACATCAAATTTTCAGGTGTCATCAACCCAAGGTAAGTATTTTTTTTGCCTCCTGTAAGTTCCAGCTAACATATTCACCCTTATCTTACAGGAAATCTATTCTAGTGCCGGTCCCACACATGACCAACAGCGGCTCATTTTTACCACCAAGCTGCTGGTTCCTCACTACCCCCTACACCTTCTACACTCCCCTTCTTGAGGGATCAACTCTGTGCTCATTCCAATCCAGCTGGCTCAAGGCATGCTTAGGTTTACGTGACCCCTTATGCCTGATGCAGTCTTTCAACCACCCCAACCTGTACTATGCCGCAGTATAGCCTAAACCGTCCATGAAAAGAAGGTGGTTCAAGCCATTGCTGGTTTCATCAAGTCATAGCATGCTACCCATACTGGCATTGTGCACGGCTTCTCAAAGTCGGAGTGTGAGGAACTTGCTGAGCAACTGCGAAATGACTATGGCTTATCTGCCAAACATTACTGCACCAGTATGGGCCCACAAGAGCACAGCACCACTCAAGATTTGTTATCCACTCAACTTGAGGCTCGAGGCACAAGGTGCGGCAGCATCCTGGAAAGCAGCTCAAAGGTAGCTGTACTCTCCACAACTATAATGTCGTCTTTCACTTTACCTTACGTCTCTGCAGATTCATGCAGGTCTTTTTCATGTGTCCTCCTCCCCTCAGCACTTATTTAGTCCCTCCAGCATTCACTACCTACAGCTGATTTCATTCTCATGCAGACTCCCTTTTTTATGAATGTTAACATTCGAAATACGATGTATATCTACTATGGGTTGCTTTTTTTTTACTTGATGTATGACTTCCCCCTATGAACATACACTTTGAAAAATCACAAGTGTTTGAATCTCCGACTTTGTGCTGATGTGCGCCAAGCATGTTTTGAGCGAGTTGAAACCAACTTCAACCAAGAGTTCAAAGCATGTTAAGTGAGTTTTCAAAACCTTTCAAAACCTATTTTGAGTATCACTATTGCTAGAAAAAAAGATGGAAGAATAGTGACTCGTGGAGAAATAACCTTATGTGTTTAAGTCTAAATTAGAGCCTAATTTCCGGATGTAATATTAAAAAGACAGTGCTCGCTGCAAGGTTCGAACTTGCGACCTCAGGATTACCGAGTCTACGCTCGTCATACGACATGTATGAGACCTGCGCTCTAACCAACTGAGCCAAGCGAGCTCACGACTAAAATTAGAATTTGATTATATAATCGAGTGCTCTTGAGAAAGTTGTTGTGCTGTGCTTTGACGCTGTTAAAGCTTGACAAGACTTTACAACTTAGTCTTGATCGTGATTGCACATAACCACCGTCAAGAACACGTTGCTTTGACGAGTCTGTCCTCGCGGCTATTCATTGAGCTCAGCCTCGAGCTGGCTCCGTGCCACAAGTCTTTCAAAATATCTCCCTTCCATTCTTAGCGTTTGCTCGGATGACCAGTCGGAAGAGACAGGCCACAGATTCTCTACTCCCAGTGCGTTCTGCTAAATACCAACGCACAGAAGAGAACCAGGGCATTTGGAATCGTTGGCGTCAACTCGGAACTGACGCATTCACACTTGGCTACGAAACGGTCCGCCTCGGATACCTGTCCCTCATGAACTGTGAGATTAGTTCTATTGCCAGACAGATCGTTCACTAACAACGTGCTCAAAGCCTCTCAAAACCCAGGTAGATCTCAAATCACGTCACAACAGTCGGAAAAACCTAATCAAACTGGCTTTTTACCCTCGCAAGCTACCCACCTGGGTTTGCCACCTCGTCTGTCTATACCAAAAGAGTTCCACAAACCCAAAGATTCACAACCAGTAGCAGGTCTCTCGCGGCTTTCATCTTCTTTACTATCGTGTTCAGAATCCTCGAATGCACTCAATGGAAACGGGAACTCACCTCCATCAACCCTCACCGGACACACCTCCGTCACCCCGGTTCCCTCGACATCGAAGGAACACATTCAACATAGCCAGTCGTATGACTTCATAGGAAATTCCGCGCACAGACGAGGTGTGGTGGGCTGGATTCGCCCTCGGCAGAGTCGAGATCATATATACGCTCGTGTTGTGAGTGTTTGAGCAATGCTAACCGGTTCCTATATCTCACTATCCACCGACACCGTAGCACAGAGCCAAAGTACAAGAAGATAGGAAAAAGGACCGCGAAGAGCTGGTGCAAGAACTCTTCCATTACAAACGTTCTACCGGTCAGCACGCTAGTACTTTTCTTGATGCTCTATCTCTCACTCTGATTAGGATATACCTCAGATTTTGACTCTTTTAAATGTGCGTCCATTCTGTCTTGTTCATGTCTACATCTAATTTTCATGAATTTCAGCTTTGATTAATTACCAAGCTCGACTTGAAATTCTTGAACGACATGCACTTTCGCGTGCGTGATTCTTATTACTCCAGTTTAGCACACTTACGACGTCGTGCGTAGCTTCACCATCACTGACAGATCTGCGCGCAAAGCAGTCATTACCTGGGCACTCCCGTAGGCACTCGTTCTCAGATGTGAGCGTGTGCATACTTTGTTTGCTGCTGTGCTAAATTGTGCCAGGATGTTGATCCCGACTTCTTGGAACGTGCACTTAGAAAGGCCAAAAAGTCATTTGAGCTGTATGAGGGTATATCTTGCATATCTTCCTCGCTGAATCGATTTTCTATAGTCCGCCACCCAAACCATTTTCTCCCTCGCATGATCGCCTCCGTTTATCGGCACGTCACAGAGATGAGGCTATTGAGAAACGTCTGCGGCCAAGGCTACCCAAGGCTCTCCCTCCTGACGCTGACACCCAAGTCAACGCGCTCCTGTGCAAGAAAGGAGTAATTTCCAAGGTTGCTCGAGAATCTGTTAATGATCGAGATATGTCTCGGTTACTGCCCAGTCAGTGGTTGAACGACGAAATTATGAACTTTTATGGTGCGATGATCTTGACGCGCTCGGAGTCCAACCGCGACCCTACCGCAAAGAGAAAGGTGCTGGATGTCCACTATTTTAGCACCTTCTTTTGGCCAAAGCTGAAAAATGAGGGGTATGAGCAGGGTCGGCTAGCGAAATGGACAAAGAAGGTCCGTTACTGCCCAGTGAAATTGAAGATGATTTCTCATTCCACATACAGATTGATATCTTTTCAAAAGACATCATCCTTATTCCTATCAACCACAACAATTCTCACTGGACCGGGGCTGCCATAAACTTCCGTCAGAAGCGGATAGAGTCATATGACAGCATGAATCTTGACCGACATCAAGTCTTCAAGGTACGTTAACTTGCCTTGGCGTGCCCAGGAAGGCCCTTATACTGTCCCTCAAGGCCTTGCGAAGTTATCTGGACTCGGAACACAGAAACAAGCGAAAGAAACCTTTTGACTTCACTAGGTGGCAGAATCACAATCCTGAGGACACACCACAACAGGAGAATGGTTATGACTGTGGCGTGTTCACATGCCAGTTCTTGGAATCCTTGTCCAGAGGGGAGGAAGGATTCCGTTTCTCGCAGCGGGACATGACCTACTTGCGGCGGCGGATGATTTGGGAAATTGGCCATGCCAAGTTCCTGGATGGCCCATGACAATGGGCTTCTACGCATTACTCTCTTTATATGATTTTATGATACTCTGTATTAGCATTCACTGCGGATACGGAAATGGGGTGATTTGGATGACAAGAGAGGCACACCGAGCAAGCTGTTGATCCAGATATATTGATAAATGTCCGTAGTGGGTGATTGTCACCGCCGAAACCACCATACAACGATGAAGAACCAGAATACAAGCACGAGAAATAGAATGTACCATAACCATCGACAACCCTGCCGCTGTGCCATGTTGTTCATACGACGGAATGTGCCAGCTAGGATGCCCGAGGTCTCCGCAAATGCGTCATTCTGCAGCGTCCACGATAAGTTGGGAGCCGCTGATGAGTAGAACAACAGCATGCACGTACCATCTGACTGAGTTGTACAGTCGATTCTCGGACCTCGTTTCCAATGCCAACGGTGATCTTCGTATGAAAACGATGAGTTTGATGGGCGGGCGAGACGGGAAGCACCACTTACATCCTTGAGCAGCTTCACCTTGGCTGCCAGGCCTTCCAACGCCTCGTCATTCTGACCTTCCAAGTCATCCACGTAGCGGTGGCCAGAAGGCCCTGGGTTTGGGCTGCTATACGGTGAGGAGCGTCCCGAAGCTGGAGGTGTCACACCCAGGAGAACTGAACGGTCTCGTAGCGCTGCACTTGTTGCTCTGTATCTGAAGCATTAATCAATGAACAGTGCAAAGGAAGTCCTGGGAATGCCTCACCTTTGGGACATATAGTGGTGTGTATAAGACCAGCTCCACGCTTCCCGACCAACGGGTGAATTCGAAAGAGAATAACAATATTACTAAAAGCCCTTCGACTCAACACAGCCGAGGCTGAAGACGGCGATGTGTATACGGGTCCAATTGACAAAAGTGAAGTACACCATCTTCCACGTCACACGTTCTACCCAAGTTCGTTTAGCTTGTGATACTATGTACTAGTAAATCTTGTAATACCATCGATACATGAAAATATCCACAAAGCATAGGTAACTCCAAAGGAGGGTAAAAAAACGGATACCAGAAGAAACACAAGGCCTCCAGATCCAGATCGGAGAGCGATGCATGCTACTGGCATGCGTGCAGATATATTCGTAATATTTATACCTATAAATCAAGAAACTAAAGAACGCGAAACATGGCAATGCGAAGATGACACGTCAATGCAAATGTGGTCTTGGTTGGGGCAAGGTTAGGGTGGTATGTCAAACCGAATGAGTGGCAAATAGCGCTATAGAATACAAGCAAGTCCGTGGCTGTTACGTCCGTGCGCTTTTATTCGATACTCATCCGGTTTGGGTTCGCGCTCATTGGTCCTCGGTTCAAGTGTTGAGAGCTACGTCCTTGTGTGTGCGTTTTACTTCTTGCAACTGTCACACAGCGCATCAGTCAAAGAAACCATGAAAGGAAAAGAAATCACTGACTTGATGCCTTCAGTCCTCGACCGAAATTACGCATCACTAAGACGGAAAAGATGATCGTGATGACGAGAAGGACGATTGCGATTGCAGCTACCATTGTCGTGAGCTGCCAGTAAAATTTATATATCAAAGGACTTACAGAACGTGGAGAGTGATTTCCAGCACGAGGCATATTGTGTGGTCCTGTACTGAAGGACCCGGAAAAGCTGAAACGTCATGAGCAAACGAGCTCTGCGCAGCAAGTTTGTCAAGAGAACTCACTTTGTATGTGAAATAGACCAGAGCGCCTATGCTTCCAAACATAAAAGTTCCCATCATCCACTTATTCTCGTGACGCACAGCAAGGTGGCCTTCGATGAGGAGGAGAATCGATAATGGGAGAGCAGCCCAGGTGACGTAGTACTCCCAGTCGTTCTTCTGGAGGACCAACCATATGAACTGTACGGAGAAGCCGACCCAAAAGAAAATGTCGAACTTGACAAGACATTCGAAGATCTGATATGTGGCATACATTTTCTTGATGCGGCGGTCGGCACCCAAAAACTTGTAAACCTTCCAGCCGAACTCGTTATAAATTTTCCAGCCAAGACCGATGTATGCTATCTCCGCAGTGGATATGACGGCAGGTATGATATCAGTGAGAACAGTCACTGGTACATGTACAAAGCCGGTGGAATTGGTTGACGAGTTCTTGATTTCGCTGATTTCAATAACGGCGTATAACAGGAAAAGAAGGTTGAATATGCTGTAAACCAAGTGTCAGGAATATGCTATGGTAGGGGAAAAGTTAGGTATGTGCTTACATGAGAGACAAAAATTGCAGGGTATTGCGCGCATACACTGCATCGACCGCCATGACAAGTTGGAAGACACTAAAATGTAAAATATCGTCAAATTAAGACGTCGAAAGATGTTCGAACACGTACTGGGCAAGTGCAAATACGCTGAGATACACTGCCAGTTCTCCCGAACTATCCTGCAATCGAACAAACAAGTCACTCTCGATGGCCAGATCCACTGCGGTCTCGACCACCACAGTTAGGACAAATAGTCGACATGCCCAGGAGTCGGGAAGAATCTAGATAAATTTCAGTAAAAACAACTGGTATCTGTGAGACAGTAGTGCTGACTTTTGCCCAACAACTCCTGGTGTCGATCGGCTTCTCCTGCTTCGGTGTTGGAGGGTAGTCATGATTCGAAGGGTCTAGTTCAGCATCATCTTCTACAACTTTATCAACCGGATATGATACTTTCTGGTCCATAGAGAAAGAGCGGTCTGGTGAATCAGAATCGTCCAACGGGTCAGTCGATACAGCAAAAGTCTGATGCCGTGAAGTTCTTGAATACGGCTCCGCATATTGGTCAATGAGATCGCTGACGTCGTCGTTATACGAGGACTTGAAGTAGTCTGAAGAGGATGAATCGGGATGTTGTGTGGATAGATAGTCTGTTGAGTGATCCCCGTAGGTTGTGAACGGGCGTGACATTGGTGGGAGATGAAAAGAGAGTTAGTCTAAGAAAAATGTGAATGTTTCGGATCGTCCTGCGAGTGTAATGGTAGAAAAGAGTGTGAGATCACAGCTTGGGTGCGATGGCAGTACTTGTCACAACTAATTGTAAGATAGCCACCACCAACGGTCACCACAGCTTTTGTGTTTGCCGCACTGTTCTAACCGTGAGAATAATTTGCCTCAAGCGCCCGACTGAGGTCTATAATTAAAAGTGTGACCACAGCGGACGCGATGATAATAAGCTCGAACAATCAGTAAAGTATCTGATCGGAGTAACAATGGGATACCATGGCATGGCATGCCGGAATCATGAAACTCGCAGCAATATTAATTAACTTCTCCGGACTACAAAGATATGATAGACCTAGATGATCGTTCGTTGTATTGAGGGTAGGGATTCCACAAACAGATGTTCACCCATACTTGTTTGAAACACCGCCATTGGCAAGACTCGCGTGTCTCGAACATGTGCAGAGGTGGAGCCCTCCTTAAATAAAGCAAATGTGACGCGCTCCTGGATTGACAGATACGTTTGAGTAACAGTATTCCTCGAACCTTGAAAGGGGTCGCCTATCATGCTCCGTGTCGGCAAAATAGTGTGGTAACCTGCCAGTGGTTCACCCCAAGAAACTCGTCCGGGAAAGATCCTGATAACATGCAAAAGTTACATACTCTTTTGGACGGGCCAGTGGGAGCGCCGAACGAATGTAATTCACGAACGCCTATGCATACATATTTGTGCAAAGTATAGGTTTTCAACGAACTAACCAGCTCAAGTTATTTCTGATAAAGAAGTTATATAAAGTGTGCCAGTGGACGCTGACTCACGAGTTTCCATTCTTCAGTAGCGGTCAATTAAGTGGATCAGTCGGTGTCCCGCGTGCTCATTGTAGATCCGCCGACCTCAGCTTCAAGTGAGCTAACCTAAGCCAAAAACTAGCAAATTGAATATGGGCAAGGCGACCAAATATGTCATGACTCGCTAGTGCGAGGCAGACTTTTTTTTATCGAGGATGCTGGGAAGCGGTCGGTTAGAACTATCTATATGGTAAGTGAGATTCATACATAATATGCAGCCAACTTGAAGTAACTCAGTATGAGAACCGCCGAGTGAAGGACCAAGTAGTTTGCCTTTTTAGGATTCCCTTCTTTGACTTCAGCGCTCACAACGCTGAAGACTCAATATCCGAGAACTCCAACTGGTAAGTTCTTGTATCTAAAATACTAAAATCGCTCTACGTGGTAGCATAATTGCTTACTGAAGGTGACCACTGCTTCTAGATGACGATACGTACGACCTTGTACGGTGGTCTGACCTCCAAATTGTACCGTAAACCAGTACTCCTGCTCGGAACCACAGGCCCCAAACAGTTTCTTGATACGTTCTTAATAGGAATATCCTCTGCCAGTTATGGTTAACTTGCGCGCCTCTTTTTCGGCCGGCGACATGTCAGAGTCTCAGCTGCACATATCACGGGTACGTACTAGTTGTCCACACATGAATCTACATCATATGGATAGATAGAGGCATGCAAGCAGGGAATTTCAGGGAAAACTGTCTGCTCGAATCGAGCTTCACGGCCCGATTGCGGCTCCACATACATTCCAGAGGGTTCATACGCTCATATCTCTCTCTCACACGTAGAATCTCAGCACCACTTGGCGGGGCTTGAATGTCCCTATGTCTACCTCAAAGCTACTATAAAATTGCTCTCTGTGAGTGGACGTCTTTCACCGAACATCTTCATGGATTCTCCGCAGTCGCAAGTCACTGACTCCCACCCAGAATTTATCACACTTCCTGATCGCTGTTGGTATCCGTCCAATAAACTGCCTGTTGCCCCATCATTCTTATCACATGATGCTCATCATGGTCATTCACTTGGCGCGAATATTGTTGTCGAGACTCGATTGTTGACAGAGTCTTCTTCGAAAACCGGCGCAACTTTCAAGAAAACTATTACGCAATTGTCCCATCCTGGTCTGGACGATCACGAAAACGTTTTCTCTCGTGAGTCCTTGGAAAGAACCCCCTCGACAGCTACGTATGTGGACGTTTTCCCCACTGATGCGTGGAGTCGCAAAAATTCATTCGAAAAGGAGGCAGAGGTGTCAACACCTAGCCTTGAGTTCGAGCATGTGACTCAAAGATTATTCACTACCTATTTCATATATTTTGTCTGCGGATGGGGTGATGGAGGTCAGTCCACAGTTTAAGTTTGTAAACTACGCTTATCAAACTTCTCAGTCACCGCTACTGTTCTTCCCTGTATGTTTGTTTTCGGTTTGCTCCTGATATCTTATTCAGCGTTGTTCTACCAGCATTCGAGAAAGACTTTGGTTTGAGCTATACGACGTGCTCCTTATTGTTTACAGGCAGTACGGTCGGGTAAGCTTCTCTCGCCAAAATATCTATAAAATACCGACAATTATCTCTTAGGTCTGTGATCGGCACCATCCTGCTTGAACGAATCGTCAACTTCCTTGGTCAATTTTACCCGTCTTTGGATCAACACACCTATTTTCCCGCCGTTCCGTTTTTTGATCGCCTGTTCACCAAGAATGTGTCAGCAGCTCTCCCTTGCGGTGTCGGATATTCACCCGCAAAAGCACGATTTTCCTCGCTCGTCCTTGGAGGTCTCCTTCATCCTCTATTCTTTGTCGTCATGGGTACCGCTCGTAATTATCCCGCGTTATTTCTGGCATATGCTATTGCCGCGTTTGCACGCTCTTTCTGGACCGGTGAGCACTTGTTTTGATCTGAATGTTTCACTTATACGGGTTGTTTTAGCATCATCGTGAGCGTTGCGCTATGGTATCTTCCTGATGCTAAAAAGTTGCAGGAATTTTTATGTTGTGTCTACACCCAAGAAACCCCTTGGGGTTTTACTGGGATGTTGGTGTAAGCAGTGATGTGTGTCTGTATGATGATGC